TTAACTTCAGAAGAAACTTTTAATACATGAAAGAATTATGATCCCAAGAAAAAATTTTAAATTTATGTAGTTGTACATGTAGCCCTTTTATCACAGATAAACCCTACCAAATAATTCCTAAAACAGTTCTTTCTTCTTTTTTTTTTTTTCTTCTTTCTTTTCCTTCCTCCTTCCTTCCTTCTTTTTTTTCTTCTTTGGTAGTAGTAGGGATTGAACCAAGGGCCTTTAGACTGAGCTATATCCCCAGTCTTCAAAATTTCTTTTCTTTTTTCTTTTCTTTCTTTTTTTTCAGAACTGGGGATTGAACTCAGGACCTTGTGCTTGCCAGGCAAGCACTTGTTCTATTGAGCTATCTCCCCAACCCCTCAAAATTTCTTTTTCTTGTGCCTTGTTTCTCTGAGCACCCACACCCCACTCTTGACTGCATTCTCCATCCCCCTCTAATAAGCCCTTCTCACACCTCTTTCACTGATGCATCTTGCAAATCCTTTTGCCATGACAGGAGTTAGTGAAACTCTGAATTTATGCTAAAGAAGCACATGAAGTTATCATGAAAGAAGGAAAAATATGAAAGAGTTTTGCTGTAGGCTTTCTGGGTTCTTGTAGGCTTACCGCTACTGTGCTTTGCTGGACTTGATTGTCAGATGCAAGTTAGACCAGGATGAAGGAAAACACCTTATCTAATATTTTTCTTAGTAGAAACAGGAAAGCAAAAATGATGAATGGACATATACAATGTCTTTGGAAACTTCTGTCTATATACCACCAGCAAAAAATTTTCTTGGCCAAGGCAAAAACCAGTATGAAAGTAGGGTTTTGTTTTTTTCTTCCACACTAAACTATACCTAGAGAAGAGAAGTGATGGGGGAAAAAATTATGATTAAATAATAAAGTCTACATGCTGAATATACTACATAGATAGACAGATATAGAGATAGGTAGAGATAAACACATAGAGAGATATAGATAAAGATATAGATTGAGATAGGTACATATAGATCAATCAACTGATCAATCCATAGAGATAGATAGATAGATAGATAGATAGATAGATAGATAGATAGATAGATTCTTTCAGAGACAAGGGCTTTTAAGTTGCCCAGGCAAGGCTCAAACTTGTGATGTTCCTGCCTCAGTCTCCCAGAGTACTACTTGAGATCACAGGCCTGCACCACCACACTGGCTAAGACGTTAAGGTATAATATTCTGTGGAATAGACAGAATGGAAATACAAATAAAAACACAAAAAGAAAAGAGAATAATGTAAATTTTTCAATTGCTAAAGAAGAATTCTCTTGTATTCTATGTTATTTTCCTTGGAGTTAAATTTCCATTTAATACAGTTAAGAAAATGATAGAAAAAAATTTATTTTTAAGTATCAACTTTTGCCGTATGGCAAAATTTATTTTTTGGAATTTAAAAACTTATAATGAAAAATTTAAATAGCATCTGGGTATGGTGACATGAACCTGTTATGCAGCACTCTGTGCAACTGACCCAGGAGAGTCACGGGTTCAAGCCCACCTGGGGCAATTCAGAGACTTGGCAAGATCCTGTCTTAAAATTTAAAAAGGGCTTGGAATATAGCTCAGTTTGAAGGTCTGGGTTCAATCCCCAGTACCACAAACAGTAAAATAAAAGAAATCTAAAAGTGCATAAAATGTTATAGTAAGAGTTTCAATATTCTTTCAGGATGTTATAAGAACAATTTTTTGTTTGTTTAGCATTGAGTGTGGAGCCCAGGGCAAGTGCTCTACTACTGAGCTGCATTCACAACACGCGAAAACATCTGGGACAGCTGTTTTATAGGCCCGTATGTTGGCTCTCCCGGCTGTCCTAGAGCTACTACGCTCAGGGCTTGCCGTAACTTTATCTTCGAGCAGCAGGCAGGTGTGATGGGTCTGTGCTGCTGACAGCCCAGGGGGCCCAAATGACTCACAACCCAATAACAAATCTTGTGTTGTTTTGTTTTTCAATGCTGAACAACAAACCCACAGTTTGGTGGTTGCTAAGTAAGCACTCTACCACTGAGCTACATCCCCAGCACTTTTTAGTTATGTTTTAGTTGAGACAGACTCTCACTAATTTTCTCAGCCTGGCCTAGAACTCATGATCCTTCTGCCCCAGCCTCCGGAGTCACTGGGATTATAGACGTGCGCCACCACTTAGCAGCAAGTTTATTTTCGTAATTACACATTCTGGTGTATAAAAGCCTTCTGAGTAGCCATGTGCCTTTCTTTCTTTTCTGTGTGCTGTACAATGCGTGTGTGTCCTTGGTAGACTCCACATTCTCTTCTAGGTGCTTGGTATATAAAACAAGATCTCTGTCCCAGGGAGGGGCTGGGAGCACAGATGCCCGAGTGTGCAAGTGTGACCTGCTGGTGGGTGTATGTGTGTGTGTGGCGGAATGGGGCTGTTTTTAAAAGGTGTAATCAATGTACACATGCTCCAGTTTGTCAGAAGGTGACAACGGGGAGGAAAGGCAAAGTGTTTTTTAAAATTATGCAGGTAGTGTGGGAGTCCAGGAAAGGAAGACCGGGAGACCTGCTAGGTACTGCTGTCGACGGTTGGTCGGTGAGGGGGGACGGGCCTGAGTAGCAGGGAGGTGGTGGGAGGGGTCGGAAGCTGCACTTGGCTGTTTCCTACACACTGGTTGTGGAGTACGAGAGAAAGGACTCCAGAAGGATGAGGGCTTAAAAGAGGCCCCCAAATACATCTCCTTCTTAAGTTCTTACTAATCCCAGGACTACAGAGCTCCTTTTATCAAGGACCACCATGCATTTAAGGGAGCATTAACATGAGCCCTGGCAGGATGCTGACTTGGGCCCCATGACCTGCTCACCCCGAGAGAGCAGAGAAAGCAACAGCACCTGGCTGAGCTGCCGTGGTCGTGACAGCAGTCCAGCCAGTTCTGCCTTATGAGAAACGCCAAAGCCGCCCAAAGCCTACTGTCCCTCTGGGAACAGGCTACTATTCCTCTTTCTTTCCTTTTTTTTTTTTTTTTCCAACCAGCCATCCAGAAGGGAAGTTCCTCTTTGAGCCAAAATGCAAAATCATCTCAAGCTGCCACAGTGACAACTACTTCAGGGAAGAAAAAGAGGAAAAAAGGTATTGTTTGTTGCTGTCTGTTCCAGCCATTCTTCTGTTCCCTTCATCCTTTAACTCATTTCCCCTTTCTTGAGCCGTATGTTCCTGCTCCTGGGTAATTGGCCCACAGAGAAAAACTCAAGGAGAGGTAAAAAAATAAATAAATAAAGTAAAATAAAATTCAATGTCTTATGATGTCCAACAAACTACACAAGAACGGCTTCATCACATCCACCAGAAGAATTAATCCTGGACACACTCAACATTCCACAAAAAGAATCAGGAAGTCTGGCATGGCCTGGGCACAGCTCTGCAGGGGACACCGCACAGGACCTCGGAAATTCAACTGGGAGCCTCTCCCCTGGCTGTTATTTATAGTCAGAAACTGAGGCATTTTGAAGGAATTTTAAGAAATCACAACTCCGTAGCCTTTGAGCAGTTACAACTAAGTGAGAAGCTGCCCAGTAGTAAAAGGTTCCAGCTAAATATCTAGGGCCACAGTCCTATTCCTGACACTTCCACTGGGGCCTGGGTCTCAGCATCCTGTACTGCAAAATGAAGGCTTTGTGCTCCTGGGGTCCTTGGTCCAGTGTCTCCATATTGCAAGTCTAAAGCCAGGGCATGAGATCGTCACTGAGTGCGGCTAGAACGCAGCTTTCGGGGAACTAAGCTACTTTACATCACTCTTGTTTTATTTTTTTTTTTAATTTATTATTTATTTATTTATTTATTGGCAGAACTGGGGATTGAACTCAGACCCTTGCACTTGCCAGGGAAGCACTTATTCTATTGAGCCATCTCCCCGGCCCCCGCTTTAAGCCTCTTTTTTTTTTTTTTTTTTAATTTTATTTATTTGTGTGTGTGTGTGTGTGGCCAGCTCAGCCCACCAGGGGGCGGGGCTGGCTGGCATGTGGTGCTGGGGGATTGAACCATGGTCCCTGTGATTTGCTAAGCTTGTTCTAAATAGGTGCTTTAGACCACTGAGCCATCTCACCAGCCCCTTTTTTTTTTTTTTTCAGAACCAAGAATTGAACTCAGGCCCTTGTGGTTGCCAGACAAGTGCTTATTCTACTGAACCATCTCCTTGGCTCACTCTTGCTTTAGATAGACCATTTCTTTTTCTTTTGGGGGTAGGAGGAGTGGTCATCCACTGAAACTTATCATTTGGCTTTCTCTTCTCCAATTCTAATCTTTTTTTTTTTTTTTTAAATTTAGGACAGGGTCTACAGGGCCTATGGGGTCTCACTGCATAGATCCGACTCATAGTGATCCGACTCATAGTGATCCTCCTGTTTACAGCCTCCCAAGAGCTGGGATTACAGGCGCACACTGCCATACCCAGTCTCAATCACAGTGTGCCCCAGGAGCTGGGTCAGCAGGGCAGGCCTGGAGATCGAACTCCCGGCCCCTGCATCTGCTAATTCTAATCTGTTTATGTATACTCTTTTCTTTCCCATATCCTTGAAATAGCATTGAATTAGAAAATTGCAAATTTTTTGGTCTGAAGAGCCAAATGAAAATGTAAAGTGAGAAAGTTTATCAGACCCTGCCTCTGCTGTCTGATGTAAACTGAGGCTTTTCACTGGATGGTGCTGGCAAGTTTTTGAAATTCAGAGGTGGACATTCTACATTAGGGGTAGAACTGGGCAGAAAGTTTAATGAGCAAGCTGATACGGTGCAGAAAGAAAGCGCCTATCTGAGGAAGGAAAGGCCTTGAGAGTGTAAGCCAGGAGCTGGTGGGTTTAACTAGAAGAAGAGGATGTGGGAGGAAAAGCCACATGCAGGGGAACGTGCGTGCCAGGCCAAGGGTTTGAATTTAACCCAGTAGACAACGGAAGCCGTGAAAGCCTTTTGTTCCCCATGGACTCACTAGAAAGAACTTTGTATCCAACATATATGTGTTGGAGCTGGGGAGATGGCTCAGTTAGAATAAGCGTGTCCCTGGCAAGCCCAAGGGCCTGAGTTCAATCCCTAGTTCAAAAAAAAAAAATCTATATATCAAATACTGTGAAATTTGTATTACTTTGGGGCTGCGGAGATGGCTCAATAGAATAAGCGCTTGTCTGGCAAGGGCAAGGTTCAGAGTTCAATCTCCGGTTCCACCAAATAAATAAATAAACAACATATATGTGTTTACTTTTTATATTTCCAGAGTTTACAGGACAAATTTTTTAATACCTTTCCATGTTGGACAACTGCTTCTGCAATCATAAGATGTATGAGGGGATATTTGGTCTTTGGAAGAAGAGTTCTACTTGTCCCGAAGAAAGGGTCAGATTGAGCTGATTTACATCACCCTCCAGGGTGAGGAATCCAGATGGCTTCCATTTGGCCCTAACTGGAACCAGCCAAGTTACTCTTCTGCACTTCCTTTGGCAGACAGGAGACTTTTGGCCTGCTGCTTGGAAAGTTGTACCCATAAAACTGCATGAACCAGAACCCCATTCACAACCCTGACCCTCGCTTTACACCTCTCATTTGGAGTAATAATTACAAAAATTTGCCCACTTTACGTGGAGCAGGTATTTATAAGTTGATAGAAAAAGCACATGTTCTATTTCTATGCTTGGAGGCTTTAGACATGTATGTCCTGCTTCAGAGGCCCAGTGAGCAGGAAGCATCCTTAGCCTAGTGCTTTTCAACTTGAGCAACTTCTATGAACCTGGGGACTCCTTAAAGCACAGAGCACCAGGCACCCCCACCCCAGCATCCTGAGCCAGTAGGCCTGAGGCAGGGCCAGAGATCCCCACTTGGGGATGTGGTATGCATTTCCAGGGACCACACCTCAAGGTCTACTGTTCTAGACTTCACAAAATGATTGCCTACTCCGGATCTATTCTGTTCAGAGAAGAAAATCAGAGGGCACAGTCAGGCGCCGAGGTGTCTCCTTCCTGGGCTGGAAACCCCAGAACAGACAGGCCTCAGCTCACCTCTGTTCTTCTCATCCAGAGTCAGGTGGACTCAGCTCTGCACCTGTGGCTGTTGGTACCACAGAGACACAGGATCAGGGGAGTCCTGGGCCTGAGGTTGATCTACCCTCAAGCAGATGGTGTCTCACTTGGTTCATGCCTGGTCACAAACCTGTAAGGTCCAGAAAGAGAAGATGCAGAAGGCTATCAGAGCTGCTGAGGACCATCTGCAGATAAAGAGGTTTTCCTGTGCCCCATTCCAACCAGGCCTCTTATGTCACATCAAGCTCTCCTACTTCCTGAAAGAAGCGTTGGGAACCAAGGAGTCAGCTGGGCCTGTTCCAGGCCTAGCCCAACCCCACACCATGGTCTTCCAGGCTGTTTTCATTCTGGAGGACTCAAAGCCCAAGAGTCAGGAGGCAGCTTAGACACATAGACAGCAAACCATCCAACCATTAAATGGTCCTTCCATAAATTTGAAGCCTTTATGACAGTACCAGGTGGCCCAAGCAGCAAATTCACCTCCCCAAATAAGGCATTTTTGCTTATATCAAGGCTACAATCCACAAAAATGCTGCCATCACCAGTAGAAGAATGCAAGGGCCAAGTTCAAAAGTGCAAGATGTAATCTTCAAAACAGCTTTATTGTTTCCAAAACAGGGAGTTGCTGTTTATAATCCCAAAATGTTTTTACTCGGGGCTTCATTTTAGGATTGAATAGTGGCAACCTCCACACATGGATTCTGAGCTCCAAGGTGTGACTCGTCCAACTCTAATTACATTGTGCTTTCTGGAGTCCTGTAATCAGGCAAATGGAGTTTATGTTCTGGTTTATGAAACCGGGAATTACACAGGAAATTACACATGTTCCTCATCAATGGAAAGAAGTTATTTTTAACAAGTTAAAATTCTACCACAAGGAGAAGGTCCTGTGAGGATGTGGCATCCAGAGATAAGCAGGCAGTGGTGGTGTAGCAGAACCTTGCAGCCCCTGCCAGAATGTGTGGTGCCCGCCAGTTCTAGGGTCCCAGGAGAGACCAGGTAAGGAATCTCCCTGGAGTAATGCTGAGCCTAGGAAAACTGACCTTTGACCTTTGGATACAGGCCCACATAGAGTCTGCTGGAGGAAATGAGAAGTTTTTCTGCTGGCAAGACGAGGTTGGAAGCAGAGGGGACCGCAGAGGATGAAAGTACACGGATGGAATGTTAGCCATGTGGGAAGCAGGACAGGCACTGCGTAGTAGACATTGCAGGAGTGGCTGGAGGGCGCCAGTGAGCCCACATGGCTAAAGCCACGAACGCTGCCAAGGAACTGGCTTTGTCCTGTGTGCAAAGACAGCTTTGAAGAGTGTGCAGGCAAAATATCTGGAGAATGGAGATTGGTTAGGAGGGTTTTACTCTAATTCAGGCAGGAGAAGATGAAGCGGAGTGCAGAGAGCATGGCGACGCAAGTAGAGCCCAGATGCGTGGTGTTGTGGAGCCTGAGAAAGGTCTTGGATTCAAGGACTGTCGGGGCAGCTGGGAGAGAAGGGGAGGAAGTGCCGGTCAGAAGCCCACGGCAGATCTGAGGCGCTTCGGGAAGGCTTGCTGGGGACAGAGATGCTCCTCAGGGAGCAGGGTCACAGGAAGGACGCCTTGCCTGGGGGTTAATCCACTAGGTTGCGCTCATTGATTCAGGGACTCATAAAATTTAGAAATGACACCAAGAGACAAGTCATTCATATTGACTCTGTACTGTGAGCCCAGACAGTTGTTGTCTCGCAGTGCTTTCTATTCAGTCCTCAATCCTTCGAGAAGATGGGGATTATTATATCTGTTTACCAATGAGGAAATTCAGGTTCAGAGCGACTTTCTGGGAATCACTCATTTTTGAGAGGTAGGTGTTAAACCTGAGCATTCCACATATTACACCTCACCGCTTGGCCCCTGAAGTACAATTAGGCATAATTATGTCAGTGTTACATTCCTGAGCCAGAAGGTACAAATTAAACTAGAGCTTGTTTTTGTTTAAAGAAATGTAGGCTTAGGGGTCGGGGAGATAGCTCAATAGAATAAGCACTTGCCTGGCAAGCGCAAGGGCCTGAGTTCAATCCCTGGCTCCGCAAAGAAAAGGAAAAAAAAAAGTGCATTAGGTTAAAATGGATCAGAGTAGATACAGTTGGGGTGGATCTAGAATTATGTATTCATCCTTACCCCAAGGAATTTGTTTTGCATCGGAGAAAATTTTGATTTTTCTTGCCCTAAAGCCCTGAGCTGCTTGAGGCAGCTTCGCTGTCCTCCTGACCCGCCCTCTCGGAGGGGCACTGGAGAGGGTGCGACATTACCCAGTACACTGGGCTATTCTTCCGGGCCCAGGTGGCTTTGCTGCCTGTCTGAGCGTCAGTCAGGGGAAAGCTGTGCTGCTTTTCCTACGTGAGGCACGCTCTCCCCATTCGATCACAGGCTTGGAGCTCGCTTCCACCGAGGACACGCATTTGGGCCACCCTGGCTACATTAGGGTGCAGACTGGCTGAGAACATTTCTTCACTGCAAAGTTGGGCAGCTGTATGGAATTCAGCCTGTGTGTGTCGTTCCAGGGCCTTTGCACTGAGCGTAGCCTCAGCCCTTTTTTATTCTAAGGCATGGCTCACTAAGTTGTTAAGATGCCCAGGCTGGGCTTGAACTTGCCGCCTTCCTGCTTGAGCCTCCCACAGTGGTGCTGCTATCATTGTGCCCAGCTTCAGCAAGCATGTACTGCCTTTCTGTAAAATATAAATTTTCCTCCAAGGCCTGCACACTTACTTGACTGTCACCAAGTCTTCCCACACACTGGTTAGCATTCCCTTAGTGTCAGCTCAGAAAAGACATGCCGAGGGCTGGCAAGAGAGCTCAGCAGACTAAGCACCTGCTTTGGCAAGTGCAGGGACCAGGGTTCTATCCCCAGAACTGCCTGCCATGCAGGCCTGGCCCCCAGGGTGAGCTGAGCCGGCCACCAAGTTGGGGCACAATGGGCATGCCTGTAATCCCAGCACTGGGGAGGCTGAAAACAGGAGGATCACTACGAGGGCAAGCTGCATGGTGAGACCCTGTACCAAATACATAAAAAAAAAGGAAAAACAATTGAAAAAAAGAAAAGACATGCCAATTTGTTCTTCTTGTTCCCAGCTAGAGCCTCAACACCTAGACCGGTGCTTGGCGTAAAAAATAGTTGATGAATACTGAATGAATTTTAATACTGGGGTTAAGCTCTCAAGTCAGAATGGTGGATAAATTAGGGTAGAGTTAAATGACCCTTTTTAAGAAAAATTTTTTAAATATATCTTTTGTTATTTATTTGTTTGGTACAGGGTCTTGCTATACAGCTTGGACTCGTAGTGATCCTCCTATCTCAGCCTTCCCAGCCCTGGGATTACAGGTGTGTGCCACCATGCCTGAGTTCAGTGGCCAGCATGGCATACAGTAATAGGGATCAAACCCGGGTCCTCGTGCTTGCCAGGCAGGCGCTTAGACCACTAAGTTATCTCCCCAGCCCTAAATGACCTTTTTAATGGCCTTAAATGCCTGTATGATTCCAGAGGTAATCAAAATATACAGTGAATGTTTAATTTTTTAAAATGTATTAGAAAAAATAATTTAATACAAATGTATTGCAGTGAAAGACACATTGCTGGCAACCCTCCCAGAATGTTCCCCTTGGTGTCCTGACACACTCATCCCATAGTTCTTGCCACTGTCTGAAGCAGCGCTGGAAGTCCTCTTTCACTAGTATCTTCATGAGGTCTGATAAAAACTATGGTTATCACTGTTATCAAGTGCCATCCGATGAAAAGGCAGGCTCACGAAAATATACGGTGTCTCCTCGCTCACTTTTTCACCAGATCTGACACCTTACAACTTCTGGCTCTTCCCCAAAGTCAAAATGACCTGAAAGGTAAATGTTTTGACCTAATTCAAGGGATGGAGGCAGCCACAACAGCACAACTAAAGACACCCACAAAAGAGGACTCGCAGAAATGCTTCAGGAAGTCACAAAAATGATGAGATAAGTGCATGCAAAGCAAGGTAGGGAGGGGCCAGGGAGATGGCTCCATGGAATATGCACTTCCCTGGCAAGCGCAAGGGCCTGAGTTTAATTCCTGGTTACGAAAAAAAGAAAAAAAAAAAAAAAAAAAAGAAAAGAAAGAAAGAAACAGCAAGGTAGGGAGTACCTGGAGGGAGACTAGTGAAAATGCGATGTCTTCTGTTGTAATAAATTTTTTTTTAAATGTGAACTCACTGTGTTTTGAGGCTATAATTTGGTTTTGGGGGGTTTTGTTTGTTTGTTTTTGTTTTTTTGTATTTTAGGGAAGGGTCTACAGAGTGTTCAGGATCTCACTAGTAGATCAGACTCATAGTGATCCGCCTGTTTACAGCCTCCCAAGAGCTCGGATTACAGGCATGTGCCACCAGGCCCAGTCTCAACTGCTGTCTCATCGCACCCCGGGGGTGGGGTTCACAAGGCAGGCCCAGCGATCAAGCCCCCTGTCCCTGCGCCTGCTTGCAGGTGCTTTAATCCGCTGAGCTATTTGGCCAGCCCTAGGCTGTAATTTGTACAATCAGTGGATATATTATCTGCTACTGTCTCTCCCCTAGCTTTGCAGCAGATCCCCGGATGCAGAACCTGGCTAGAGATAAAGTGCATGTAGTCTGTGCACACCTGTGTGCACACCGACTCAGCGGTGAACCCGTGTTATGTTCACTGCTGTTTCTCTTTCTCCATCCCTTTTGTTTCTTCATTTACCAAACTCCTAAGCTTGAAATAGTAAACCAAATGCAAGCATGATGTCAGTCCATAGCACCGGCAACAAATTCTTAAAAGCTGCATAGACTGATGAGGTGAAGCAGACCCAGGACTTCTGACCTGCGTCGTGAATCAGAAAGGCACGGTGACCTTTCTCCTCCATACGTTTTTCTTCCAGAGTTTAAAAACAAAAACAAGAAATTTTTCCAGACTCCTTTAAAAGGCTAAATCTCTTTGTAAGAGCCACATTCCTTTCTAAGGGCTATCACGTCCCCAGACCAACTGACAGCTCATTCATCTTCCACCAAGGAGTTTCTAGAGACATTGATTTTCTTCTTTAATAAGACTAAAGGTGGGGCTGGAGAGATGGCTCAGTGGTCTAAAGCACCTACTTGAAACAAGCTTGGCAAAGCACAGGGACCGTGGTTCGATCCCCCAGCACCACATGCCAGCCAGCCCCGCCCCCTGGTGGGCTGAGCTGGCCACACACACACACAATAAATAAATGTAATAAATAAAAATAAATAAATAATTTAAAAAAAAAGACTAAAGGTGTCTAAATCTGAGGTGCAGATTCCTTTCATGTAAAGCAGTTTGGGACTCCTACTGTAGAGAATGAAGGACTTTAAAGATCACATATAAAAAAATAAAGTATCCTCTTGACTGTGTTATAGAATGACTCTCCCCTGATATAAATCCAAGAAATGCAAATTTAAAAAAAAAATCAGTTTACCTACCAGGTAATAAACAGAAAAACTACTGACTAAAAATAACAAAATATTCATTTTCTTCTTATAGAAATCAAGAAGAGAAAATGTTTGGCTGAACCTGGTCCCTGGTTGGTGAAGTTGCATTTGGCAGATAATGGCATAGATAGCAAGGGGGAAGAAGGAAGCTTGTTGGAATTCACTCGGATGCTGACGTGGTAAGTAGCAAAGTAAGAGGTTTTATTCGTTCATTTTCCAAAATGAAGTGCTTTGAATTGAATCGTGCGGGCATGCGCGCTCTTCAGCAGCACCTATGCTGAGTCAGGGGGACAGTAGTCTCGTAATTTTGGGTGTTTCCAGTGAAGCTCCTTGGCTCTGAGAGGAAAGCACTGAGCCCCTTTGGTCCTGGCACCTGACAGGGTGATGGTTATGTGTGACCCATAGCAGGGTCTCAATGACCACACTAGCTGAAGTTGGCAGCTGGGCCAGGACAGCAGGGGTGACCTCCAGGGTTTCATCCCTTAAAGTCCAGATTTTTAACTAAAATTTGGGTGGTGTGATCCAAGTAGGAAGGAGGCTTACTCAGGAGTGACTACGCTTTTTTTTTTCGGAACTGGGGATTGAACTCAGGCCCTTGCGCTTGCCAGGGAAGTGCTTATTCCACTGAGCCATCCCCCCAGCCCAAGAGTAACTAAGCTTATCCCAGCCTCCCCAAGCAGAAAGATGGAGCAATTCTCAGAAGCCTCTAGAAAACAGAATGTTTTGTAGCCCTCTTTATCCTGACAACCTTAGGCAGGCACCTCCCCTCCAGCACTACAGAGCCCACATCTTCAGTGGGCCAAGCCAGAGCCAGAGCTTGCAGCCAAGTTCTTCCAGTAATTAGGAGAACTCACTGGGAGAACTTGCTGGATAGAGAGGGCTCCAGAAAGCCCTGCAGATAGGGACACTTGCAGCACCTGGGGGTGACACTGAGGCATCCAGCCATGGTGTGAGGCCTGAGGGTATGATGAACAGCAGCTAATGGTTTTAGAAAAAAGATTCCCTCCCTAATGTATTTCTTTATTCGGGAAGGATGGGGAGATTTTATACCTGTATAGTTTCCTGCTCTTTTTAAAATAATTACATCAGAAAATCTCATTTTATTACCTTTTTAATATATTACTGAATTTAATACATTACAGATATATTATGCCTTTTTTTTTTTTTTTTTTTTTTTTTGGGGATGGAA